ACCCAGTAAGTGCAGCCGGGCTGATGGCCGAGTGGTGTGATGTGCCCAGTGTGGGTAGTCCGGGCACTCCAAGCCAGAACTTCTTTGCAAGCGGGGCACCCCTTAGAACTGTCTGTCCGGGGTGGGGGTCGGGTCCCTTTAAGCACAGCCCTCGGCTAGCCTGAGACAGCAGCTCCACGCTCTAAGTCCTAACCTGATGCCCTGCCAGCACTGCTTCCGGCCAGCCTTTACCTCGGTTCAGGGTCCACTCAAAGTGGACATGCTAGTTCGAATTAGCAAAACGCTAATTCGAATTAGTTTTTAGTTCTAGATGCACTAGTTCGAATTAGCTTAGTTCAAATTAACTAAGTCGAACTACGTTAGTTTGAATTAGTGCTGTAGTGTAGACATAACCTTAGTGAGCTGGGATTCAGGGTTGTTTCCTCTGACACTTGTACCCTGACCCTGCAGGCTGCCTTCCCTCTGCAGCCTACACACAACGTGCTGTGGAAGACAATGTCCAACCAAAGCACCGTGACCGAGTTCCTGCTCCGGGGGTTCTCCGACATCCGGGAGTTGCAGATTCTGCACTTTGCGCTGTTCTTAGTGCTTTTCCTGGCAGCCCTAGTGGGGAACCTTCTCATCATCGCAGCTGTAGCCCTTGACCACCATCTCCACACCCCCATGTACTTCTTTCTGGTGAACCTGTCCATCCTAGACCTTGGCTCCATCTCTGTCACTGTCCCCAAGTCCATGGCCAACTCCCTCCTGGACACCAGGTGGATTTCCTACCCTGCCTGTGTCGCCCAAGTGTTCCTATTCATGTTCCTTTGTTCAGCTGATATCGGCATCCTGACGATCATGGCCTACGACCGGTACGTGGCCATCTGCCACCCACTGCTCTACAAGCGAGTCATGAACCGGAGAGCCTGTGTCCACATGGCTGCCAGCGCCTGGGTCAGTAGTTTTCTCTACTCTGCCCTGCACACCGGGAGCACGTTTGCCGTCTCCTTCTGTGGAGGCCACGTGGTGGATCACTTCTTCTGTGACATCCCCCAGCTGCTCAAGCTGGCCTGCGCTGACTCCAACCGCAGTGAAACTGGGGTTATTGGCTTTAGTGCCTGCTTAGTCGTCAGCTGCTTTGTGTTAATACTCGCGTCATATGTCCTGATCTTCAGAGCGGTGCTGAGAATCCCCTCGCAGCAGGGCCCACACAAAGCCTTCTCCACCTGCCTCCCCCACCTCACTGCTATTTCTTTGATTTTTTTCACTGGTGTCTTTGCCTACCTGAAACCCACCTCCAGCTCCACATCCCTCCTGGATCTCGTGGTGGACGTTTTCTATTCCGTGGTACCTCCCGTGCTGAACCCCATCATCTACAGCATGAGGAACAAGGAGCTCAAAGCTGCCCTGCGGAAATTGACTGGGCAGAGGTTATTCATGGCAAATAAAATGTCCCTCCTTTGACTCTGATTTTAATTTCATCCTGTGGTTCTTTTCAAATAAATTAACAGATGACTGGGATGTCTGCAAGAGGACATTGCATGCCATCTCTTTACTCACAAAGGGGAATTGGCACAGGTGAAAATAGCAACACCCATGAAGTCAATGTGCTGACTGCAAATAAATACCAATGTAAATAATACCAGTATCTCTCTGTCTGTCTGTCTGTTGTGGAGCAAGGTGTATAGGTAGTTCCGAATAGGAAGCCTAATCCAAACAACCTAGACGGTGCTGCGTGTAGCCGCGGGCACGGAGTCCGAACTAGCGGGGATTTAAACATGGCGGCGCCCTGCAAGATGCAAATGAAGCCCAGGAAATTCAAATCCCGGGCTTCATTTGCAACTTCGGTTGCCTACATTAACCACCCTAGTTCGAACTAGGGTGGTAGTGTAAACATACCCTTGCAGACGAACAAAAAAACATGCATAGTATCATGAGCTGTTGTGTCGAAGTCACTTCTTCAAATGAGCTTGACTCATAGAGAGAGAGAGACAGACTTACAGATAATGCTAATTATTGCGACTCATTTGCTGTTCATAATTTTCTGTGCCCATCTCTTAATTTCCTTATTGCTTCTGTTTTGAAAATAAAAGTAACAGGTACCTGCCTCGTTGAAATTATTGCATTTTTCAATACAATTCTTTCAGTTGATTTTTATTTCTGGTGTCTTGATGCCAGGAACTGTTGGCACTTGTCCATGTCATGTTTTGGCCAATGATTTGAAATGGGAACTCCCTCAAGTGTGTTTTGTTTCTTTGTCCCTGAACACTTGTCTAATTCATCACATTGTAACAAAATAGGGCTCTAGTCCTTTTAGTTCCCAATAGCATCGTCTTCTAGTTTTCAAACCTTGAGCACTGATTTAGCCTGGCCAATGCTGAGCATTGCCATGCTG